CAACATTCTTAAAGAAAAGAACTTTCAACCCAGAATTTCATATCCAGCCAAACTGAGCTTCAGAAGTGAAGGAAGAATAAAATCCTTTGCGAACAAGCAAGTACTCAGAGATTTTGTCACCACCAGGCCTGCTTTACAAGAGCTCCTAAAAGAGGCACTACACATAGAAAGGATCAATCAGTACCAGCCATTCCAAAATCACACTGAATGCTAAAGAGCTTCAACATAATGAAGAATCTACAACAACTAACAGGCAAAACAGCCACTTACCATCAAAATGGCAGTATCAAATTCACACATAACAATATTAACCCTAAATGTAAATGGACTAAATGCACCAATCAAAAGACACAGACTGGCAAATTGGATAAAAATCCAAAACCCATCAGTGTGCTGTATCCAGGAAACCCATCTCACATGCAAGGATACACAAAGGCTCAAAATAAAGGGATGGAGGAAGATTTACCAAGCTAATGGAAAGCAAAAAAAAGCAGGAGTTGCAATTCTCATCTCTGATAAAATAGACTTTAAAGCAACAAAGATCAAAAGAGACAAAGAAGGCCATTACATAATGGTAAAAGGATCGATACAACAAGAAGAGCTAACGATCCTAAACATATATGGACCCAACACAGGAGCACCCAGATACATAAGGCAAGTTCTTAATGACTTACAGAAGGACTTAGACTCCCACACAATAATAGTGGGAGACTTTAACACTCCACTGTCAATACTAGACAGATCAACCAGACAGAAAATCAACAAGGATACCCAGGGCTTGAACTCAGACCTGGAGCAAGCAAACCTGGTGGACATTTACAGAACTCTCCACCCCAAATCCACAGAATACACATTCTTCTCAGCACCACATCACACCTACTCTAAAATTGACCACATAATTGGAAGTAAAGCACTGCTCAACAAATGCAAAACAACTGAAATCATAACAAACAGCCTCTCAGACCATAATGCAATCAAGTTAGAACTCAGAATTCAGAAACCGACCCAGAACCGCACAGCTTCATGGAAACTGAACAACTGGCTCTTGAATGTTGACTGGGTAAACAACGAAATGAAGGCAGAAATAAAGAAGTTCTTCGAAACCAATGAGAACGAAGACACAACGTGCCAGAACCTCTGGGACACATTTAAAGCAGTCTCTAGAGGAAAGTATATAGCAATAAGTGCCCATATGAGGAGAATGGAGAGATCCAAAATTGACACCCTATCGTCAAAATTGAAAGAGCTAGAGGAGCAAGATCAAAAAAACTCAAAACCCAGCAGAAGACAAGAAATTACTAAGATCAGAGCTGAGCTGAAGGAGATTGAGACACGAAAAACCCTTCAAAAAATCAATAAATCCAAGAGCTGGTTTTTTGAAAAGATCAACAAAATAGACAGACCACTAGCCAGATTGATTAAAAATAAAAGAGAAAACAACCAAATAGATGCAATAAAAAATGATAAAGGGGAAATCACCACAGATTCCACAGAAATTCAAACCATCATCAGAGAATATTACAAACAACTCTATGCACATAAACTAATGAACCTGGAAGAAATGGATAAATTCCTGGACTCCTGTGTCCTCCCAAGCCTAAACCAGGAGGAAGCTGAAACTATGAATAGACCAATAACAAGGTCTGAAGTTGAGGCAGCAATTAAGAGCCTACCACACAAAAAAAGCCCAGGTCCAGATGGGTTCACAGCCAAATTCTACCAGACACACAAGGAGGAGCTGGTACCATTCCTTCTAAAACTATTTCAAACAATCCAAAAAGAGGGAATCCTTCCCAAATCATTTTATGAGACCAACATCATCCTGATACCAAAACCCGGCAGAGACCCAACGAGAAAAGAAAACTTCAGGCCAATATCCATGATGAACATAGATGCAAAAATCTTCAATAAAATATTGGCAAGCCGATTGCAACAGCAAATCAAAAAACTTATTCATCATGATCAAGTAGGATTCATCCCAGGGATGCAAGGCTGGTTCAACATATGCAAGTCTATAAATGTAATTCACCACATAAACAGAACCAAAAACAAAAACCACATGATTATCTCAATTGACGCAGAGAAGGCATTTGACAAAATTCAACAGCCCTTTATGCTAAAAACCCTCAATAAACTCGGTATCGATGGAACGTATCTCAAAGTTATAAAAGCTATTTATGACAAACCAACAGCCAATATCATACTGAATGGGCAAAAACTGGAAGCATTCCCTTTGAAATCTGGTACTAGACAAGGATGCCCTCTCTCACCACTCCTATTCAATATAGTACTGGAAGTTCTAGCCAGAGCAATCAGGCAAGAAAAAGAAATAAAGGGTATTCAAATAGGAAAGGTGGAAGCCAAATTGTCTCTATTTGCAGACGACATGATAGTATACCTAGAAGACCCCATCGCCTCAGCCCAAAAACTCCTGAAACTGATAAACAACTTCAGCAAAGTCTCAGGATATAAAATCAATGTGCAAAAATCACAAGCATTCGTCTACACCAATAACAGACTTAAAGAAAGCCAAATCAAGAGCGAACTGCCATTCGCAATTGCTACAAAAAAAATAAAATACCTTGGAATACAACTCACAAGGAACGTAAGGGACCTCTTCAAGGAGAACTACAAACCACAGCTCAACGAAATCAGAGAGGACACAAACAGATGGAGAAACATTCCATGTCCATGGTTAGGAAGAATTAATATCGTGAAAATGGCTATACTGCCCAAAGTAATTTACAGAATCAACGCTATCCCCATCAAGCTACCATTGACTTTCTTCACAGAACTGGAAAAAACCACCATGAACTTCATATGGAACCAAAAGAGAGCCCGCATAGCCAAGTCAATTCTAAGCAAAAAGAACACAGCGGGGGGCATCACACTACCGGATTTCAAACTATACTACAATGCTACAGTAATCAAAACAGCATGGTACTGGTACCAAAACAGAGATATAGACCAATGGAACAAAACAGAGGCACCGGAGGCAACACAACATACATACAACTATACAATCTTTGATAAACCTGACAAAAACAAGCAATGGGGCAAAGATTCCATGTTTAACAAATGGTGTTGGGAAAACTGGCTAGCCATGTGCAGAAAGCAGAAACTGGACCCCTTCCTGACACCTTACACTAAAATTAACTCCAGATGGATTAAAGACTTAAACATAAGACCTGGCACCATAAAAACCCTAGAAGGAAATCTAGGCAAAACTATCCAGGACATAGGAGTAGGCAAGGACTTCATGAACAAAACACCAAGAGCATTGGCAACAAAAGCCAAAATAGACAAATGGGACCTAATGAAACTCCACAGCTTCTGCACGGCAAAAGAAACAGTCACTAGAGTGGATCGGCAACCAACAGAATGGGAAAAAATTTTCTCAGTCTACCCATCTGACAAAGGGCTGATATCCAGAATTTACAAACAACTCAAGCAGATTTACAGGAAAAAAACAAACAAGCCCATTCAAAAGTGGGCAAAGGATATGAACAGATACTTTACGAAAGAAGACATATATGAGGCCAACAATCATATGAAAAAATGCTCGTCACTGGTCATCAGAGAGATGCAAATCAAAACCACATTGAGATACCATCTCACGCCAGTTAGAATGGCGATCATTAAAAAATCTGGAGACAACAGATGCTGGAGAGGATGTGGAGAAAAAGGAACACTTTTACACTGTTGGTGGGAGTGTAAATTAGTTCAACCATTGTGGAAGACAGTGTGGCGATTCCTCAAGGCCTTAGAAATAGAAATTCCATTTGACCCAGCAATCCCATTACTGGGTATATATCCAAAAGACTATAAATCGTTCTACTATAAGGACACATGTACACGAATGTTCATTGCAGCACTGTTTACAATAGCAAAGACCTGGAATCAACCCAAATGCCCATTGATAATAGACTGGATTGGAAAAATGTGGCACATATACACCATGGAATATTATGCAGCAATCAGAAATGATGAGTTCGTGTCGTTTGTAGGGACATGGATGAATCTGGAAAACATCCTCAGCGAACTGACACAAGAACAGAAAATGAAACACCGCATATTCTCACTCATAGGTGGGTGATGAAAAATGAGAACACATGGACACAGAAAGGGGAGTACTAAACACTGGGGTCTATTGGGGGGAAAAGGGGAGGGCCAGTGGTAGGGGGAGGTGGGGAGGGATAGCCTGGGGAGAAATGCCAAATGTGGGTGAAGGGGAGAAGAAAAGCAAAGCACACTGCCATGTGTGTACCTAAGCAACTGTCTTGCATGCTCTGCTCATGTACCCCAAAACCTATAATCCAATAAAAAATTAAAAAAAAAATAGAATATAAAAGCAAATCTTCTCTTTAAATTCAGCAGGATATAGCTTTGCAGCCTAAAAGAATAATTACCCTTCCCATAAAGAATCAATGTTATTTGTTCACACTAATATTTTCCATCTCACTTGAAGTTGCAAACCATCACAGGAATATTTATGCCTTATTATGGAGCATCTATTACACAGCAAACACTGTCATGTTTGTTTGCTACTTTATATATAAAAACATCCTCACAACTTATAAGGGTTCCCTAATAGTTACCTGAACAAATTGGCCCAATCAACAAATTTACTTAAGTTCATTATTTTAAAAAATAATAAATTTTAAAAATAGGTTTATATAGCATTCTCCAATTAAAATAACAAAATGAAATATTTCAAATAAGTAAAACATAATTTAGTACACTACCAAGCACAGTATATATACAATTGCATTCAGCATTTTTGAGGTTTTCCTAGAAAATCAGACACCTTATTAAAATGATTTAATATTGCTTTTTTCTTCTGAAAATAGTTACAAACTTATACTCACACGACCTATAATTTTCTTACACCTAAGGTTTATCTTTAGACTAATGTGTGTATTTAACTCTAAGTAAATCAAAACTAAAGATCTATGTGTGTTTGCAGGCAGAGTCCACATGTTCAAAGAAAAATACAAACAAAAATTTTAAAGTATTTATTCAGGGATCGGAAATATGTAAATTTTATTTATACTTGTATGTAGTATTTATTATGACCATAAAATGACCCTGCAGCCAATAACAATTTAATTGCACATTTTAAAATAACTAAAATTGTAGAATGAAATTGTAATACAAAGAATAAATTCTAGAGGTGATGGTTACCACGTTTACCCTCCTGTTATATATTGTATGCCTGTATCAGAATATGCCATATATAACATGAATCCATACACATATAAATGACCCACGAAATGTAAGAATATTTTAATGACAAAAAAATAATGAAAATTTTACCTACAAGAACAATACTCTTTAACATTTTGCAGTTTAAAGCCACTGGCAAAAGACATTACTAAAGATGTTAGTCCATTATATTACCAAATAATGTATTGTTACCACCTGGAAAAATGTTCGCTCCACATGAAGAATTAATGTTTTTCTTTACCACCGATATTTTCCATCTCTGACTTGAAATCACAAACTAACTCCAGCAAGGATATTTACAGCTTATTGTGGAACTTCTGTTACACAGCAAGCACTGTCATGTTTGTTTGCTACATTTGTATACATAAACATGCTCATGACTTATGAAACCTCTCTAGTACTTATTGGTAAACCTCCCTGAGCAAATTGGTAAATTTACTTCTGCCAATTATAAAAAGTGAAAGGAACAATAATTAAAGAAAAGTAGGCTTACATAGGGTTCTCCAATTAAAAGAACAAAATGTTCTAATTCAATAAAATATTATTTTTTTATATCTAGATATAGGGCTTATATCTAGAAATTATTTTGTGTGCACTACTAAATTTTATAAAAACCATTCATACAATCCTTGACCAGCTCACATAATGAAAACCTTAGAAACTATGAAAGAAAAAAGTATAAGAAACAAGAAAATTATAGATCTACCATGAGTACTAGACAAGTAAAGACAGCAAATTTGCATGAGAATATTAATTAGCCATAAGATTTTACAGTAATAAATTCAATATAAACAGAGGGCATAGATTTGCTTTTATCATTTTGAGGTTTTTAGTTTTCTAGTTAGTTTTAACCTAGCCAACCTTACTCAAGGATATAGGTAAAAGATGGTAACAATATACTATTTGGTAATACAATGATTATTAAATTTAAATAATTCATTTTGTTCCAATAATTTTTTCTTCTGAGAAAAAGGTACAAATTTATACAAACATGATGACTTACTCCATAATTTTCTTAAACTTAAGGTTTATTTTTAGAATAATGTATGTGTGTATTTAACTCTGTAAATCAAAACTAAAAGTCTGTATGAGTTTGCAGGCAGAGATACCATGTTTTCAAAAAAATTAACAATTTTTAAGTTTATTCTGGACTCCAAAGTGTATAAATTTTTATAATGGTACATAATTTTTATTATGACCAAAAAGATGACCCTGTAATGAATAACAATTTAACTGTACATTTTAAAATATCAAAAAGTGTAGAATTCATTTCTAATACAAGGGATAAATGCTGGAGATGATGAATACTTAATTTATCCTGATGTGATTATTACCTTTTTTATTTCTGTATTCAAACAGGCTATATATACAGCATAAATGCATACACATACTATGGACCCACAAAAATTAAGAAAAATAAAATAAGAGAAAAAGAAGAAATATTTAACCTATAGGAACAATATTCCTTAACTGCTCTGCAGTTTAAAGTCACTGCAAAGGAGATTACTAGAAATGTTAGTTCATTGTGTTAACAAATAGTACATTGTTACCATCTTTTACCTACATCGTTGAGTAAGGTTGACTAAGTTAAAGTTAATGGTATAATAACACTTTATTGAATGATCAATGGTTTTAACTTTTTTTTAAAACTTTAACTAAAAAATTCAGTTCACACAATCTAAAAATTTCTATTCTATTACATAAAAGTACCATAATTAAAATAATGTACTGCTAATTTAAATTTTAACTAAAATTTAAAATGTTATCACTATTATGTAGAATATTACTCTGAACACCTAACTCATGCATTACTTAACCAAAGAGTCTCTCCACTTAGAATTTCATCACGTCTTACATTTTAATTCCCTTTCCCTTCCATAGAAAAGGTCATATCCCTACTAATTAAAAAAAAAACTTACATTTTTGATGCAGTAACACTTAGTAACATGCTTTCACAGGTGAATACAGTAGGAATGAAAAAAGAGCACGAAGTAATTTGAGAGAATTGCATCATTATTCATGTTTTAAAATATCTGTAATTTTAAGGACAAAAGTATACTTTGAATGGAATTATAACATTTAAAAAACTCTACTTCTTTTAAAGTGACATACAAATAATTTATTTACCAACTTTAGTTCTGATTGTTTTCTATACTCAGCACTCTGATTTACTGTAATGTCTATAGCGTCACTGCCTTAGGTATTTCCACTGGGAATTTTCTGATATTTACATAGACTTCATTTTGGATTAAACATTCTTTCACATTTAGTACATCTGCAAAAATATACTTTAGTATGAAACCTCTGGTGTTTTCTAAGCAATAGTTATTGAAACAATTTTTCTCCAAATTTATAACATTTGCAAGATTTTTTTCCCCCAATATAAATTTCCTGATGTGGAACAAAGTTTGAGAAACTGCTACAGGGTTTTTCTCTAGTACAAATGTGTACAATCAAATCTGTGATACAAGTAAAGCTACTGGAACACTCTTTATATTTGTAATCTTTGTCTTCAAAATGAATACTCTTTATTATTTTTTTTCTGAGATGGAGTCTTGCTGTCACCCAGGCTGCAGTGCAGTGGTGTGATCTCAGCTCACCACAATATCCACCTCCCAGGTTCAAGTAATTCTCCTGCCTCTGCCTCCCAAGTAGCTGGGATTACAGGTGTGTACCACCATGCCTGGCTAATTTTTGTATTTTTAGTAGAGATGGTGTTTCTATGGCCATGTTGGCCAGGCTGGTCTTGAACTACTGACCCCTTGATCCACCCACCTCAGCCTCCCAAAGTGCTGGGATTACAGGCATGAGCCACCACACCCGGCCTCTTCTTTAAAGGCTTATATATAATAAATGGAATTACTGTAGTATATATGTATTACAGTAATTCCATTTATACATATATATTTTTATATATTACAGTAATTCCATTTATATGTTTTATTTACCAGCTCTCTGTTGAGTAGGATGTGATCAAATATTAATGGTTATTTCACATTATTTTTATTTGTACAATTTTTCTGAAGTGCATTCCTGTGCAGTAAGTTGTGAACATTAATTAGAAGTTTCACAATATTGTTTACATTTGTGTTTTCTCCAGTAAAAATTATCTTACTTAAAAATAAGTCAGACATTTTGAAGGTTTTGTCACATTCTTCACATTTCTATAATCTGTCACCAGTATGATTACTTTTATATTTAGAAAAGGTTGAGGTGTTGTCAAAATTGTCACACATTCTGGTTTTGTAGTTTCTCACTGGCATAAATTTTCTTAGGGTTAATGTTTGCAGATGGATTGAAAGCGTTGTTACATTCTTCACGTTCGTAAGGTTGCTCCCCAATATGAATTCTATTATGTTCAGTAAGTGCTGAGGATCAGTTGAAATCTTGGCCACATTCTACACATTTATACAATTTCTCTCCTGTATGTATTCTCTTGTGTTTAATAAGGGTTGAGAATTAGTTAAAAGTTTTGCCACATTATTCACATTTGTATGGTTTCTCTCCAGTATGAATTCTGTTATGTGTAGTATGGTGTGAGCAATAGTTAAAAGCTGACCACATTCTTCACATTTGTACAGTTCCTCTCTACTATGAATTCTCTTATGTGCAGTAAGCATTGAGGATTTCTTAAAAGCTTTGCCACAGTCCTCAGATGTGTATGGTTTCTCTCCAGTATCAATTTTCTTATGTTTACCAAGTTTTAGGACTGGTTAAAAAATTGTCATTCTTTACATCGTAGGGTTTCTCTCCAGTATGAATTCTCTTATGTACAGTAAGCATTGACAATTTGTTAAAAGCTTTGCCACATTCTTCACATTTGTATGGTTTTTCTCCAGTATGAATTATCTTATGTCTCGTAAGTGTTGCAGAGTATGTAAAAGCTTTGCCACAGTCTTCACATTTGTATGGTTTTTCTCCAGTGTGAATTTTCTTATGTCTAGTAAGGATTGCAGGTTCTGTATAAGCTTTGCCACATTCTTCGCATTTGTAGGGTTTCTCTCCAGTATGAATTCTCTTATGCCTAGTAAGGTGTGCAAACTGGTTAAAGGCTTTGCCACATTCTTCACATTTGTAAGGTTTCTCACCAGTATGAATTCTCTTATGTGTAGTAAGGGTTGAGCGATAGTTAAAAGCTTTGCCACATTCTCCACATTTGTAGGGTTTCTCACCAGTATAAATTATCTCATGTGTAGTAAGGTTTGAGGATTGATTAAAAGCTTTGTCATATTCTTTATATTTGCAGGGTTTCTCTCCAGTATGAATTTTCTTATGTCTAGTAAGGTTTGCAAACCGGTTAAAAGCTTTGCCACATTCTTCACATGTGTAAGGTTTCTCTCCAGTATGAATTCTCTTATGTGTAGTAAGGTTTGAGCGATAGTTAAAAGCTTTGCCACATTCTTCACATTTGTAGGGTTTCTCATCAGTATAAATAATCTTGTGCTTTGAGGACTGATTAAAAGCTTTGCCACATTCTTTATGTTTGTAGGTTTTCTCTCCATTATGAATTTTCTTATGTTTACCAAGTTTTGAGGATTGGTTAAAAGCTTTGTCACATTCCTTACATTTGTAGGGTTTCTCTCCAGTATGAATTCTATTATGTGTAGTAAGCATTGAGGATTTGTTAAAAGCTTTGCCACATTCTTCACATTTGTATGGTTTTTCTCCAGTATGAATTATCTTATGTCTAGTAAGGGTTGCAGAGTATGTAAAAGCTTTACCACAGTCTTCACATTTGTATGGTTTTACTCCAGTGTGAATTTTCTTATGTCTATTAAGGGCTGCAGGTTCTGTATAAGCTTTGCCACATTCTTCGCATTTGTAGGGTTTCTCTCCAGTATGAATTCTCTTATGTGTAGTAAGGGTTGAGCGATAGTTAAAAGCTTTGCCACATTCTTCACATTTGTAGGGTTTCTCACCAGTATAAATTATCTTATATGTAGTAAGGTTTGCGGATTGATTAAAAGCATTGCCACATTCTTTAAATTCGTAGAGTTTCACTCCAAAATGAATTCTCTTATGTCTAGTAAGGTTTGCATACCGATTAAAAGCTTTGCCACATTCTTCACATTTATAAGGTTTCTCTCCAGTATGAATTATCTTATGTGTAGTAAGAGCTGAGCGATAGTTAAAAGCTTTGCCACACTCTTCACATTTGTAAAAATTCACTGTAGTATAAATTCTTTTATGTTGAGTTAGATGTAAAAGCATACACAATAATTTGCCACATTCTTTGCATTTGAAAGGTTTCTTATCAGTATGTCTTAACTTATGTGTATTTAAATGTGAAAATTTATAAAAGACTTTCATACATTTATCACATTTAAATATTTTGCTCTGGATAGTTGGCAAATATTGGTTAAGTTCATTATGACCTTCTTTGTGCACCTTATACTCATCCACATTTTTACAGTCTTCTTTTAAGAGAAAATTTGTATGTTCATATTTTTCATCTCTTGTCAGTGTAACTTTATGAAAAGAATCTTCTATGTTCTTCTCTGGCAAAAGGTCTTGGATGATATGAGAACACATTACTGAAAAAAATAAAAATAACACATTAATTGCTAGACTCAAATGAATATACTTTCCAAGTCTAAACTATAAAATTTCACAAACTACATAAGCAAGATGGCATAGTAAAATATCATTAGACCATAATTTCTTCCTAGACATATAAATTTAACAAGCACATACTGACCAAAATACTTTTGTGAAAAACTTATAAATTTGTGTGCAGTGCCCCAGGTGAGCATAAAATAAAGAGCCTCATAGAAGAGAAAAAAAAGTCTGTTATGTTTACCCAAGACAGCTTTATCTGCTCCCCTTTATAACATAATGCCTTTAGAAATAAATTTCCAACTTCAATTGTTTTACAAAGAGAAATACCTGAGAGTGGTTAATTCATAAAGCAAAGAGGGTTTTTTTTCCTTCGGTTTTTGGGTTTTTTTTTTTTTTTTTTTTTTTTTGGCACACAGTTTGGCAGACTGTAGAAAAAGTGTGTACCAGCATCTGCTTCTGGTGAGAATCTCAGGAAGCTTACAATTATGGTGAAAGGCAAAGAGTAACAGGATATATTAGAGGGTAAGAGAAAGAGCAAGTGTGAGGTAAAGAAGCTGGGTTCTTTTAATGAACCAACCTTTGAATTAATAGAGTGTAAGCACTTTGATTAATAAAAACATAGTGCCAACCCATTAATGAGAAATTTACCCCCATGACACAAACATCTCCCACCAGGTCCCACATTAAACACTCAGGATTACATTACAGCATAAGGTTTGGAGAACATGGAAATCCAAACAATACTGCAGATCAATTCAGCTTAACAGACATGTAGAAACTTTTTAATCAAAAGCAAGATAATACACAATATACTTATGTGCACCTGGTATATTCTGTTAGGACACATACCAAATCTTATTAAATTTGAGAATACCAGCTGGGTGCAGTGGCTCACACTTATAATCTCAACATTTTGGAAGACCAAGATGGGAGAATCACTTGAAGCCAAAAATTTGAGACCAGCCTGGGCAACACAGTGAAACCCTGTCCTTACAAATAATCAAAAAATTAGTGAGGCTTGGTAAAGAATTTCTGTAGTGTCAGCTACTAGGGAGATTACATTCAAGGATCATTTGTGCCTGGAAGGTTATGGCTACAGTGAGCCAAAATTATTCCACTGTACTACAGCCTGAGTGACAGAGTAAGATCCTATCTCAAACAGCAAGACATAAATTTAAGAAGACCAAAATTATACACGTTTTCTGACCAAAACTGAATAACACAAGAAATTAAGTTTTAAAATTAAAACTTGCAAATCCAAATATATATGAAAATAAAACATAGTCTTTAACATATTCTTGCTGTAAAGGTAAAAAAAAATTTAATCATTCAAAGATGTCAATACAATCTACAGTGGAGAACATATTTACTACAATCTCTATAAAACTCCCAAAAGCACAATTTTATACAAACATTAAAATTTTTAAATTTAATTATAAATTATAGCCAAACACCCATTACAAGAACAAGGAGGCATTATACTTTCGGATTTCAAAACATATTAAAAGCTAAATAATGCAATGTGGTGCTGACATAGATAGACAGGTGAAAGAACATGATAGAGAGCCCAGAAATAAACCCTTCTGTATATAATCAAATGATTTTCCCCCAAAGTTGCTATAAGCACACAATAGAGAGAAGATAATCTCTTCCAAAAAAATCATGTTGAAAACTAGGTATCAACACTGATAAAATGAGATCATTTCCTTGAAACAGATATGAAAAGCATTTTAAAGTAAGTACCTAGACATAAAAAGACCTAACAAATCTCTGAGAAAAAAATAAACGGAGAAGACAAGACAATGGTCTTGACACACCATTTTCTTAGATACAACATTGAATGAATGAGCTATGAAGAAAAAGCAGGAAAAAATAACTACACCATTCTTCAAAATTTCTGCATGTCAAAGAAAAATTTAATTGAGTGACAATACCTTTTAAAAAAATGGGTGAAAATATTTGCAAATCACATATGATAGGAGTTAATATTAAAAATATATAAGCAATTCTTAAAACTGATCAATGAAGTTCAATAACGATTTAGAAGTAAATAATTGAACTACATTTTTAACAAGATATATAAATGGAAATAAGCTTTGAAAAAACTTGCAGAATTACCATTTGTAAAGAAATGAATAAAAATTACATTGAAAAACAAAATCATCTTACACTTAATAGAATGGCAACTATCAATTTTTTAGAAATATCAAATTTGTTTATGATGCAATAAAAATAAAAGTCATGTAGAATGTATGTAGAAAAGAAGAATGTAGCCATTATTTAAAATGTATAAGTGCTTCTCAAATAATTAAAAATAAAAGTATAATCAAATACAGCAATCTCATTTATGAATCTATATCTAAAATATGCAACACAGGACCTGAAAAACACATTTGAACATTCATGTTTATTGTATCAGTATTCACAAAAGCTAAAAAGCCAAAATAGCTTAGCTGTTTCTTAACTTATAAACACATTAAAAAACATATATATATGTATAGCATTATGTTTACATATTCTGTTATATATATACACTATATATGTATATATGTACACATATATACATATGTATATATGTACACATATATACATATGTATATATGTACACATGCAAAAGTATTATTCAGCTTTAAGTAAATCTTGTCATATTTTAAGATAAATTATGATAATATGTCACATGAAATAAGTAACAAAATTATGGATACTATATGATTCCACTTATATACCTTAATTAGTCACACTCATAGAAACAAAACATGAAAGAGTGTTTATCAAGGGCTGGGGAGAGGGCAAAATGGGCAGTTGTTACTTAATAGGTATGGAGTGTTACTTTCAAAAAATAAGAAACTATAGAACTCTTTTATATAACAATATGAATATACTAAACAATCTTGAAATGTACAGCTTTTTTTTTTAAGACAGGGTCTCACTCTGTCATCCAAGCTTGAGGGTAGTGGCACAATTATGGCTCACCGTAGCCTCAAATTCCCAGCCTCACATAATCCTCCATCATCACTCTCCTTAAAGAGCTGAGACTACGGGTGCACACCACCATGCCTGGCTATTTTTATACTTTTTTATGTACAGAAAGAATCTCCATACATTTTCCAGGTTGGTCTCAATCTTTTGGGCTCAAGTTATTCTTCTGACTTTGCCTCCAAAAGTCCTGGGATGACAGATGTTAGCCACCACCATGCCTGGCCCTGAAATATACACTTTAATAAATTTAAGATGGTAAATTTTATGTGTTTTTAAAAAAATGTTTTTCAAAGAAAAACTGAAAAAATACAGAATGATGCTTTTTTCAAAAATTACCTTTAAATCACGTAAATGTTTCTCTCACATCAAAGAATATATATTCATCATTAAATGCATGGTGAAAATAAGACTATTTCCCTGACTATTTACTTAGACAAGATAAAACAACCATTCATCTAAGAAAGAACATATACAAGATAAGCCACAAATTAAACTAGGTTTATATTTAAATAAATGCACAGGTATATAATCTGACTATGATAGGCATATTGCTGATTTATAGTTAAACTCCACATTGACTTAAAGTGTACAAATAGAATTGCAAATTGTCTAGTATTATAGGACATAAGTCAAAAACCACAATGAACTGATGTTAAGAAATCTACATTATAAAACCAATATAGACTGAAAAACAATAATAAATATTTATTCATAAATTCTGGTTTGCAATACTGATATACTATTAAGAAAGAATTTGTCTAGATAACTACAATATTTGACTGTGCACTCATGGAAGGCAGGTATATTAAATAATTGACATATACTCTATGGTTATAAAATTTCAGAGAAAATGCAGAATGATTATAAAATATTATAATTAGAAACTTCAAATAAACATTTTTTAAAAACTAGAAATATTGGCCGGGCACAGTGGCTTACACCTGTAATCCCAGCACTTTGGGAGGCTGAAGCGGGCAAATCAGAAAGTCAGGAGATCGAGACCATCCTGGCCAACATGGTGAAACCCCATCTCTACTAAAACTACAAAAATTAGCCAGGTGAAGTGGTGTACACCTGTAGTCCCAGCTACTCAGGAGGCTGAGGCAAGAGAATCACTTGAACCTGGAGGAAGAGGTTGCAGTGAGCCAAGATCACACCACTGCACTCCAGCCTGGTGATAGAGTAAAACTCTGTCTTAAAAAAAAAAAATTAAAAATATTTTTTATTTTTTAAATATATGCTCTTCTTACACAAAATGAAACTGCTATAATCCAACTTTAGAAGCAAAGAGTAGCTTTACTTTGCTAAATAAATATATGTGTGTGTGTGTGTGTGTGTGTATACATGCAACATATATAACAGAATATCGTTAAAGCCTCTGATATATAAATATTTGGGAATAAATTATGTTGATATTTAGATATAGGCTAAAAAAGTGGGTATAAATCCTATAATTCCTTTTGCCTACAGGAAACTTAAATTTATAAGTAACTGTTTTAGTAAATATGGAGTGTCTACTAATTATCTAATTTACTTCAGACATAACATGTAAATTCTAGAATAGCATTCTAAATCTCTGAATCTATGATTACAGACAAATTTGTAAAAGAAAATAAAGAATAAAAATGTATAAAGGGAGTGAAATCAGTAAGATGGAACAATAATGAAAGGTGCCCTATTTTGGCTGGGCACGGTGGCTCACACCTATAATCCCAGCACTTTGAGAGGCTGAGGCAGGTGGATCACAAGGTCAAGAGATTGAGACCATCCTGGTCAACACGGTGAAACCCCGTCTCTACTAAAAATACAAAAATTAGCTGGGCATGGTGGTGCATGCCTGTAGTCCCAGCTACTTGGGAGGCTGAGGCAGGAGAATTGCTTGAACCCAAGAGGCGAAGGTTGCCGTGAGCCAAGATCGCACCGTTGCACTCTGGCCTGGGTAACAAGAGTGAAACTCCATCTCAAAAAAAAAAAAAGAAAGAAAGGTGCCCCTGCACAGCAAGACAACTGGTCAGCCATCTCTGACAAAAATACCTTTATGAGAGAGCCAGGCCTCATGGCTCAAGCCATGTAATGACAGCTACATGGCACATTCAGGTTATAGAATTGCTTCTCATCAAATTTCAAGACCAGCCTGAATTATATAGTAAGACTTCATCTCATAAATAAGTGCCTTTAACAGAGCTTTGAGATCCAGAGAGGGAATTCTGAAGATCTGATAAAGCCCAAGATTGAAAAGTCTTCTTTTCAGAAGGCAGGCCTTCATTTAGGTAGCAAACTACAGGATCCCTGTTCTTATCTACAACTAGGAAATTGGCTACCTAATTTGTCACAACAGAGAATTCTGAAGTTACTGTGTAATCATCTCAAACCCCCTCCAGCCACAATCTGAGAGAGGTCCTGTCCTTCCAGGGGCCTGGAGGAAGATATTCATTTATAGCCATGCAGGCAGGCCTGCAGACCTTGGCCTTTACTGTGGTCCCTGAAGCAGTTCAATGATTCAGTTTCAGCTCTCTCAGCCACAGTTCATGGCCAGTTCTGCCTACCTAGGAACCCACACAGTGACCTGGAAAAATTCTTTCTGGTACTCAATGAAAGCTGTCCTCATCCACATCTTGATAGAAGGCCCACCATATGCAGACTTGACTAGAGAAACCTATGCTAGTGTCTTCCCTATAGAGCAACCAACAAAAGTTCAATCTATCCAAAATATAAAATGGAACTACAACTGCCTAGTGCTGACCCAGTAGCCTTGTGACCAAACTGCAACCATTCTTTACTACAAACCCAGAGGGCATCCCATCACTCTGGGGGTCCAACAAAATAAGATCTTTATCTCCTGAAAGTAGTTTCTAAAAACTTGAAGAAGTGTTTTATCCTTCAAATTCACAGACACCAATGCAAAACTATATTGTGCCCATTGTCAGTGCTTGCATTTTAACATATCATTGAAAGTATGTGGCAGAAGAATTAGCCAAAAAATAAAAAAGCCATTAAAATTGAAAACAAATAAGTAAAAACTTGCTGGTTGTAAATCATATGATCTTATATATATAAAAAACCCATAAGCAGTACATTACAACCTGTCTAAAGCTGAGTGCGGTAGCTCATGCCTATAATCCCAGCACTTTGGGAGACTGAGGTGGGTGGATCACCTGAGGTTGGGAGTTAGAGAACAGCCTGACCAACATGGAGAAACCCCGTCTCTACTAAAAATACAATCCCAGCTACCCGGGAAGCTGTGGCAAAAGAATTGTTTGAACCTGGGGGGCGGAGGTTGAGGGAAGCTGAGATCGCACAATTGTACTCGAGCCTGGACAACAAGAGCAAAACTCTGTCCAAAAAAAACCCTGTCTAAACTAATAAATATAATCAGTAAATTAGGAAAATATAAAAGGTACATACAAGATAGGGTTTCATACACTTAAGCTCTCCGATAAAATAGAGGAAGAAAATAATCTTATTTACAAGAGCATTAAAATAATAAATTTCTGAGAACAAATTTAAGAGTGGAGCTAAAAAATCTTTACAGTGATGGATCACTAAAAAAATTAGAAAAGAAATAAATTTTAAAATATTTTGTGTCTACGCATTTAAAGAATAAATACTGCTAAAGTGCCATGTTATCCAAAGTGATCTACAGATTCAACAAACTCTCCTTCAAAATTTCAGTGGCAATTTTTTTAAGTAATGGAAAACACAATTTTATAATTTACATATAACTACAAAAAACTTTAGTCAAAGAAATCTTTAAAAAACAGCCGAGAGCCATCATACTTTACAACTTCAAACTATATTTCAAGACTATAGTCATACAAATAAGATGAAATGTGCAGAATGAACAGAAAAAATAGAAACTACCACTCACATTTTACACATGATACAAAAAGAAAACGTAAAAAATTGTTTAACAGAGTTTTTAAAAATTATGTGGATTTTTGTGTTCCCAAAAGTAATGTAAAAGCAGTCAGACTGTGCGGTTTTTTATATGCCATAAAGAAGACAGATGCTCTCACTAGAAATTTGAAAGAAGATCACCAAAAAGAAAGTAGAAGCTTTTGAAAATTTAAGTGTAAAACAGAAGATATCCAATTATGAGAGGAAAAAAAACAAAACAAAAAACCAAAACAAACAAACGAAAAACTCAGGCTTTCCAGAAACTATTCCAATGGAACGTAGCTTTCCAACTCACATTTTAACAACTGGCTTTGTCTTTAATATTTAGACCTCTCATCTGTGTCATCCATTGTGTTCACCTTCACTCTCACCTACCTGGGGGTTTATCCACCATCTCATGTCTCTTCATATTCCAAAACTCTTTTTCTTGCTCCAGACAGGTGATCAGGTCTGGCTTAGAGACAGCAATACCTGTTTTATTACAAATAAGTAACATAAATTTTGCTCATATTCTCCAATTACCAACCTAGTAATATGTTCAGTAAAGAGGGCGTAATAAAATATTTTATAATGTAATCAAAAAATATTGATTTCTAACAGAGGATTTTAAATTTGTAGGTTATTAATTTCACTACCCAGTAACACTGAATCAAAATTTGGTGTTGGCAATTAGATTTTAAGGTACGGACAACAATATATTATGTAACTAAATTAATGAAATTACTGCTAATCTAGAGTGAAGGATACAGATCAGCTTAGAAATGTAGAAAGTTCAGGTCAAGATGAAACATCTTCAGAAATTATTTTAAACATGGACAAATCCCCAAGATTTTCTTGAAAACAGGGATCTGAAACTTATTTATGCAAAGCATATATTACCAAAACACACTGTACCAAAAAGAGAAGTGAAACCATTAGGCTATGTTTGGAATTGTGTGTTGAAGTTATCCTCACCCAGAAAGACCAGATTTTCGTAGTTCTCTAACATCACATTCCTATATAAATTCCGCTGTGCAGTGTCCAAGAATTGCCACTCTGTCAGAGAGAATTCTATGGCCACATCTCTAAATGTCAGCAGTCCCTGAAAAACAAACACACACACATAGAGACACACACACACACTTACCAGGTAGATAGCAGAATTTATAACTTGACTACAGGTAAAATTAGAGGAAATAGAACTAGTTCTGACTTACAAGAGTGACTGAAATTATTTAAAAAAATATTCATTTACACAAAAGTGTTTCCTAATGTATTCTCTACTACTGAGAAAAGAGAATGGCGTAAGATCCACAACACCAGAGTAGCCATAATACTTTTCTGAATAATAAAAGTATAAAATTAAGGGCATAAACACAATGTGTACACTTTTCAGTGCTGTATTTGCATCACACAGAATCAGTTATATGTATTTTTCAGATGGAAAAGATATGTTGTTGGAAGTTACGTCTAAAATTTGTAATTTTTAACAGCGATTTTAAATAGTCTTTAACACTCTAGTAGCAGGTATCTCCTAATAAATTTCTTAAGAAGTTTTTGTGAAATAAGTGTCATCTTGTTTAAATCAGCTTTATTATTATTTTTTATGAGATGGAGTTTTGTTCTTGTGACCCAGGCTGGGGTGCAATAGAGCAATCTCAGCTAACTGCAACCTCCATCTCCTGGGTTCAAGCAATTCTCCTGTCACATCCTCCTGAGTGGCTGGAATTACAGGTACCTGCCACTACACCTGGCTAATTTTTTTTTTTTGTATTTTTAGTAGAGACAGGGTTGTATAGTGTTGGCCAGGCTGCTCTTGAATCCTGACCGCAGGTGATATGCCACCCTCAGCCTCCCAAAGTGCTGGGATTACATGTGTGAGCCACAGCACCCAGCCTCAAGTTCTCTGTTAATGCTGATGTTGCTTCCCCTGGGCTCACCATTAGCATTAGTTAGAGAAAGCAGGCACAGCACAGAGTCCCTTACACTCAGCACCCTTGTCACAACACACATACTTCTAGGAAAAATGAATACAACCAATTTCCTTATTCTTTTTTAGTTCTTTAAAGTTTACAAGAACAAAGAGAATGCAGCAATGTTTGAATAAGTTTACATTTGGAAACCAACATGTGCACATGAATGAATGTAATGTTTATTAAGCAGGTACCATATGCTCAAGAGTATGTTAAGAGAGCACTGTACTGGGTATTAAACGTTGTGTGATTTAATCATCGTAACACCCTGGGAGCTGGTACTGTCTTGAATAATTCCCAGATTTTAGATAAGGGGTCTAGCATTTTTATTTCTTCCTCTGATTGTCTGTCATTGATTTGTTTTTTAATGTATAGAATAAAACCTAAATATAGACAAGTAAAAGGGATACAGAAAGAGTTTATGTAGTTTAGCAGAATAAGTATTGTGTTTATATTTACTTTTTTGTGATTTGTGGAAAAACTACTGGATCTGCAGAAATAGAAAACAAGTTGCAAATTGGACTTTCTCTGCTAGCATTGTTTTTTAAAAAATAGGCCAGGTGTAGTGGCTCAATCCTGTAATCCCTGCACTTTGGGAAGCCAAAGTGGGAGGATCACCAGAGGTCACAAGTTTGAGACCAGCCTGACCAACATAATGAGACCCCATCTCTACTAAAAATAGAAAAAATTAGCCAGGCATGGTGGCAGGTGCCTATAATCCCAGCTACTCAGGAGGCTAAGGCAGGACAATTGTTTGAACTCAGGAGACAAATGTTGCAGTGAGCTGAAATCGTGCCACTGCACTCCAGCCTGGGCAACAAGAGCAAAATTCTGTCTAAAAAACAATTGCAATAACAACAAATTAAGACCCTATAATACACACTTTATTTATCTCAGTTATATGCTTTTTGATTTTTAAAAAATTGTGAGCCTCACCTCTAGAAAGGCAAAAGGATTCAAAACTTTCATCTCTTATCAGTTATGTGAGGCAAAACTCCAGAGTTGGGCAAGACCTTACTTAGTAAGACCTTTATAAAGGGTGAACCTAAATAGAACTGGGGCAGGAAGAGGATCATATAGTTCTCTATAACACTAGGTATTTCATGTTCTGTTTTTATAAACTTACCTAAAAGAAACTTAAAAATCCCCAGAGTTTGTGTAACTTTAATCTTTTTTAGCCACTGTCCTGTCAATTTTATAACATATATTAATAACCAATTTAAACAAATCTCTTAAAGTTTTCTAGGATAATTTTATAAGACAAATATGTGTTCCTGGCAAGGTAAAAAGAATGGAATAATAACCCTTCTGTCCATAAATATCCCTTTAGGTAATAACATAGAAATTCACAATATAAAGTAAGTAACCCAAATAAAACCCAAGTTGGTTTGCACACATCTATTCCTTGTACCTACCAGATGATGCTCAATTAAGCCATTATCTAGTTACTGACCTAGACTAAAAGTTCCTGGATGGTAAAGTTTATAACTGCTTCATCTGTTTTTCTAATGACCATATGAAATAGAAACTATTAGTTTATCTCTTTGAGTCTCCAGACCTCCTCCTTGTTTTGCACTCAAGTACCAGAGAACTGGAGAAACTCTCTTCTGGGTACCAACCAAAGAAATCTCATGCATGAGGGGAGGAAAACACAGAATAAATTATTTCACTTAAGCTGAACAGAAGCAGAATTAACTACTCTTGTCAGCCTGACACAATTTTGTTTTGGACATTTTCAAATTTCTAATAGATGTCTAGATGATTGTGAGAAGGTTCCCAGTGCTTCTGAGCTGATGTCCCATCAATAAGCAAGGGAAGAGAGGATCAGGCTAAATAAAATATTGAACTGTCCTAGTGAAGCTTTAAAACTTTAATCAATTCTGATTAGCCAAAGTTTGGGTTAAAAACAAACAAAAAGGACAAGAATATGCTAGTATTACATTTAACATGTAGGTGTAGTTTGTTCATGGCTCTGGATACTTTGTGACCTTAATCTCTTACAAAGATGCTTGTTTCCATGTATAGGTTCTGCCATCAGATTCTATTTACACCTGGAGCCTCACATAAGTGCAGCAGGTCACTGGACAAGACCTGAAAAGCTCAAAGAGCCACACTGTCAAATGGTAACTTTAAGACATCTATGTTGACATCCTACAATGCAGAAATGTCTCCTGTTTGTTTTCTGTACATTCTCAATCCAAAAACTTTCTGTGCCTTGTGAATCCCAGGCATGAGTCTGACCTTATGTGCAGACTCTAGGTCAGATCAACCTGGCTTTGCATTCTTGGGTGTGACAGCAAGTGGAGTACAATCAAAAGAGAAATCCCCTCATAGAGGCTGCTCTAGCACATTCTAAATAATATGCCTACCTAAAAGAAATAAGCTGAGGCAACATGAATATAAGTAGACAGTTTATTTGGGCCAAGCATGAGGATTATAACCTGGGAGCAAAGATTCAAGTTGCCTGAAATCTAAACATTCTTTGGCACCAGTTACAAGTATATAAGCAAAGCCCCAAAAAGAGAAAGACTGGACAGGTACAAATTTATCAGAAATTTTTATTTACTTACAGAAATAACATTGATTATTGATTTGACATACATCATTAAGGTTTGGAGTATAAATTATAGTGTCCAGTATGGCATTATTAGTTTAAGTGATAGCTACTGGTGGCAATAGCAAATGCTTTCAAGAAATAAATACATTATTGAAAAGGGGAAAAAAGACATAACTGTGCTCTCATTTTAATGTCTGAGTTTGACAACTAGAAGGACTTGCATTCCTCAGACAAAAGGTTTTTTTTTTTTTCTTATTCAAATCTCAAGACCTAGATTCAGAATTTGGAGCTACAGATTTAGGCTCTGAATAAATAGATTAGCAAACAGGTGTTACTTGCATTTGTGGGCATTTTAGCAAGAGGAGGAAGGGTAAAGTGGAAATTCTCATGTCTCCATGTCTACTGTAGAAAATAAAATAGAAGTTCCTCTTCAAAGTTTCCTTGGCTGTCCCAAATATTCACCCTGACATGTCTGGGAAAGCCTAGGGAAGCATTAGATTATAGTTTTCTCCTTTGCCCTTATTAAGGAGTACTTTTCCCTTTATCAGCATTCCACAAGTCATTTCCTCTTTTCTTTGTCCTTTCTTGCCTTTACCTATTTAGGAAAATTTTAGTTGCTAGCCAATAGGGTCAAGCTTAGAGGAGGACCCTATTCTCCAGCCAAGGAAACTAGACTTGGCCTTCTCTTGTGGGGAGGCACCCCCCAACCTCTGTGCAGTGGTCTGGAGAGAAGAGAGCCAGGACCTACTTGGTGTGAGGAATATATTTGGATCTTCAGCAATGTGGGAGAAGGGAAAGCTTGCAGAACCATGGTAGCCAGGCAACCTTGTGCACAGGCCAAGGTAAGAAATGTCACAAGCGGGTGACAAAATATTTTCTTGGTGGTCAACTTCTGGAAGGCTGAGTGTGTGTGAGTGGTCACAAGCATCACTGTTTGCGATCGTGGTTGCATGGAATAAAAGTGAGAGATCTCTGGAAGGGGAGGGAGAAAATAAAGCTCCCAGGATAAATTAGGCAAGAAACCTCTAGTACGTGAGGTTGAGCCTTAGCAAGCCTCTAGAGACAGGACTGGCAAGACATCCCTGTTCTGAAGGATCTGGGGGATAGAGCCTCCCGCGGGACAAATAGGCAAGACATATTTAGTGTGAAGGGTTGGGCCTATGTAGTATACAACATGGGAAATGCTTCTAGTAAGACTGGAACAGGAAGTAGAACTAGAAATAAAAGAGGTGAAAGTGATCAAATCCCTCCTGATAGCCCTCTAGGGCTCATGTTAAAGCACTGGAAAGAAAATGAACATACTAAACATAAAAAAATATATAATGATTAAATATTGTTGTTTCCTCTGGACTCAAGAACCAATTTTAAAACCTGCCATTTTCTGGCCAAAATTTGGCTCAGATCAAGACTGGGTCTGCCAACTTTTAATCATGTATGTTAACAACAAGAGTCCTGTGTCCTCTGAAGAAATAGATTATACCCTATGCTGGCAGCGAGGGCCTCTTTCTTTATATACCTTAAAGGACTTGAAACATGAAGCAGATAGTGACACACGGTTAGAAAGAAAACAGTGAAATCATTTGAATCATCTTCCCCCATTTCTTAATCCCAACACACCATTGCAGCCCACTCTGTGGCCTCCCCACTCCTCCTCAGGTGGCTGGTGCAGATTCAGAAGCAGAAGTTTCCACATCTGACCTTTAAGAGCCTGATCATTGCCAATGTTCTTCTAAATGTCCTTCTTTATGGAGAGGACGCCAAAAGATACAAAGTATTGTAAAAAACATACTCAAAAATCTTCCCTTTCTTTGCACTCCCAAAGAGCCAGTTTCCCAGCTCTTTCCTCTGAAGGAAGTCCCACAAAGTGGGGGCACAATTGGCTTTGTAAATGCTCCCTTAACCTCTTCTTAAGTACGAGGTCTAAAGAAAGAACTTAAGCCTCTGCTAGATAATCCAGAATGGGTAGCAGAACGAATTCATCAGTGATTAGGTCTGCAAATCTATACTTGAACCTAGTTAATGTCGATCCTAGGTATCTTGTTCTCTAAAGAAGAATGAAACATGACTCACAAAGCTGGTATGGCAACCTAAAAAAGTGATTATCCTGCTGGCCAAGATAACCCAGCAGCAGATGTGCAAGAGTTGATTATCAGAGGGATAAATAAATCTGCACCTAGACCTCAAAACTTAATGAAAGCCTTTGATGTACACCAAGAAAATAATGAAGGACCCATGCAGTTCCTAGACAGGCTGAGATTACAATTAATAAAGTATGCAGATTTAAATCCTGATAGTCCTCCAGGGCAAGGGATGCTAAAATTACATTTTGTCACAAACAACTGGTCTGACACTGCAAGAAAGCAACGATAGAGAACCAACTGGTTGAAGAACTTTTAGAGGAAGCACAAAAAATATATGTGAGGAGAGATGAAGACAGACAAAAGCAAACGGCAAAGTTTTTCTTGGCAAAAATCAACTGGGCAGACAATGTCCGGAGTGAAAAATGGACCGATGACTTGGGATGCAGGTCTGCAGAGAGGGATAGGGCGAGGTCAGAATTGGACATGGGAGGACCATAGCAAGTGCTGTAGAAGGTGGAAATGCAGACAAAACAAGGATAAGCCAAGGCAAAAGGGTCCTGCAGTAGGAAGAAAAGGTGGGCAAGATAGATGTTACAGATGTGGGAAGACAGGCCATTTGAAGAGAGAATGCTCTCAATTAGAAACCACCAAGAGCCTGCTCATGCTTGCCTTACAAGGAGCAAGTGGGGCTCAGGGGCTCTTTTTTACTTTGAGTCCCACCAAGAACCATTGATAAATTTAGAGGTGGGACCAAACCATAAATTAGTAACATTCTTTATTGATTCTAGAATGACTCACTGTTTATGCCTTTATCCAAATGGCTTAAATTGCTCTTCAGAAGAATTACTATTTATATCTGGAGTAAAAGGAGGAGGGTTTAAGGCAAGATTCTAGAGAATACAGAAGTGAGATATTAAAATTGGGTGGCTAATAATCAATTTATACTAATTCCTGAAGCAAGGACTAATTACTAAGAAGATAGTTAATGTTGATATTAGGGTTAGGATTACAAATAGGGCCAAAATCTTTATTTCCTTAAACCTGCTGACTACAGTAGATGAGAAGAAAATTTATCCTGATGTATGGTCAAGAGAAGGGAATTAAGGGAAGCTACGAATTCTCCCAATCCAAATACATTTAAAGATTCCAGAAGGAGGAGCCAGAAGAAAGCAGTACCCAATTTCCTTACAAAGTCAGATAGGACTAAAGCCTGTGATTGAAGGTCTTATCAAAGATGGACTCCTAGAACCTTGCATGTCCCCATATAACACCCCTATTTTACTTGTCAGAAAGCCTGATGGATCCTACTGATTAGTACAAGATCTTGGAGCTATAAATTAAACAGTACAAACTGCTCACTCGACAATGCCAAATCCATATACTATTCTAAGCAAAATTCCCTATAGTGATCAGTGGTTTACTGTCATCGATTTAAAAGATGCCTTTTGGGCCTGTCCTCTGGCTGAAAGAAGCTGAGATCTATTTGCCTTCAAATGGGAGGATCAAGATACAGGACAAAAGGAACGGTACTGGTGGACAGTATTACCTCAAGGGTTTGCAGACTAGCCAAATACTTTTACTCATGCTCTAGACAAGGTAATTAGAAAAGTAGAAATTTCAACACAGCTACATTTAATCCAGTATATGAATTATATCTGGTGAAGATACAGAAAAAGTAGCTGAGCACTCCATATACTTTTTGAATCATCCATACTCTGAAGGGTTGTGAGTCTCAAAGGAAAAACTTTAATATGTAGAACCAGAAGTCAGATATTTAGGCCATTTAATTAGTGCAGGGAAAAGAAGAAGGGGCCTGAATGGGTTGAAGGAATTGTGTCCTTACCCTTGCCCCAAGCCAAATGAGAACTCAGAAAATTCTTAAAGTTCATTGGATACTGCAGATTATGGTTGACTCTTATGCTCTGAGAAGTAAGCTGTTACATGAAAAACTTACTGAAAGAGGACCTGACCTGCTTATATGGTCTTCTGATGAAGCTGACCCCGTAAATGAATTAAAGGCATGGTTAATGTCTGCCTTACTCTCTCTAGTGAAACCTTTTCATCTTTTTGTTAATGTGGATAATGGAGTAGCCCTAGGGGTACTCACACAGGAACATGGAGTCTGCCGGCAGCCAGTTACTTTCCTGTCTAAAGTCTTAGATCCAGTTGCCAGTGGATGGCCCCAATGTGTCCAGTCTGTGGCAGCTACTGCCATATTAGTAAAAGTAGAAAGATTACCTTTGGAAGATATTTGACTGTAAGTACACACCACCAGGTTAAGCTATTTTAAGTCAAAAGGCAGAAAGACAGCTTACTGATTCTAGAATATTAAAGTATGAAGCTAGTCTGCTAGAGAAAGATGACTTAACCATAACAACATATAGCTCACTCAACCCTGCAGGCTTCCTAACAGGGAACCCACTGCTACAGACTGAACACTTGTGTCTTGACTTTATTATTAAACAAAGGTTCAGCTTGATCTAGCAGAGACCTCTTATAAGACCAGACATTCACCTGTTCATACATGGATTCTCCCAAAATGATTGATGGGAGACAACACAATGAATATGCAATAATAGATGGAGAAAATTTTGAAGAAATTGAGTTGTGGAGGTTACCCAATAATTATTCTGCCCAGAGGTGTGAATTATTTACTCTCAGTAAGGCCATAAAATTCCTAGAAAATAAGATAGAAACCATTTATACAGACTCTAAGTATGCCTTTGGGGTAGCACACATATTTGGAAAAAATTGGGCTGAACAAGGTCTAATGAATAATCAAGGCCAAGAACTTGCTTATGAACCATTAGTAGTTCATGTCTTAAACAACCTCCAATTACCAGAAGAAATAGCTCTTGTACCTGTCCCAGGATATCAACATGACTTCTTTTGAAAGTTGAGGGACCACCTTGCATTTCAGGTGGCCAAAAAGGCAGCAGTTGCTGCTCAACTGATTTTTCATTTAACTCCTTTCCTTCCTTCTCCTAAAATAGTTCCTATTTTCTCCTCTGTTGAGAAGGAGAAAATGGCTGAAATTGGGGCACAGGAAAATGCTGACGGGAGATAAATTCTCCCAGGCCAGAGGGAGATGCTCTCTAAGCCCCTTGTGAGAGAAATCTTAACTCACCTACACCAAGGAACACATTGGGGCCCTGAGGCCCTGTGTGATGCAGTTCTTAGAGTCTAAGGACACTCTGGCCAGTCAAGCTAAAGATAGATGTCTCATCTGCAAGAAAACAAACAAGCAGGCTCTAAAGAAATTACTTTTAGGATAAACACACTCCAAAGTGTTCAAGTTGACAGCACTGAAATACCATAGTAGGTTGACTAAAATACCTATTAGTGATAGCTGATCATCTTACACATTGGAGGGAAGCTACTCCTTTTTCAAAGGCCACTGCTAATAATGCAGTAAAAGCCTTGAGCACATTGTACCTAGATTTGGGATAACAGAAAATATTGAGAGAGAAACGAATCAAACTCTTAAAAATCATTTAACCAAATTAATTTAGAAACTCCCATGGACTAAAATGTCTTCTATTGCTTTATTAAGAATCAGAACAGGCCAGGTGCAGTGGTTCACGCCTGTAATCCCAGCACTTCGGTAGGCTGAGGCAGGCAGATCATGAGGTCAGGAGATCAAGACCAATCTGGCAAACATGGCAAAACCCTGTCTCTACTAAAAATATAAAAGCCAGCATGGTGGTGAGCACCTGTAATCCTAGCTACTAGGGAGGCTGAGGCAAGAGAATCACTTGAACCTGGAAGGCAGAGGTTGAGGTGAACCAAGATCCACTGCACCCCAGCATGGACAAGAACAAAAACTCCATCTCAAAAAAATACGAATCAGAAGAGCTCCTCGGAAGGACATAGGCTCATCTCCCTATAAGATGCTATATGGGTTGCCTTACATTCTTCAGCTGATGTCCCTACATTAGAAACCAAAGATCAGTTTCTCAGAAATTATATATTTGGTCTCTCCTCTACCTTTTCTTCCCTTAAAGCCAAACGTCTTTTAGCACAAGCAGCACCTCTAGAATTTCTAATGCACCAGCATTGACCTGAAGACTGTGTCTTCAGTAAAGGGTGGAAAAAAGAGAAACTTAAGCCAGCTTGGGAAGGATCCTACTATGTGCTGTTAACTACCAAGACCACTGTTTGCACAGCAGAAAAAGAATAGACCCTTCAAACTTCGAGTCGAGGAAGCATCAATGCCCTCAGAGTCCTGTACTTCCAGGACAAATCTCTACCAAGCTCAAGTTAAGAAAAACTTGACGTATCTTTATTTCTATTTTTCTTTCTTTCCTCGTTACTCCTCATTTTATTACTAATGTAATCAGATCAACTTCTCCCTAACATGTAATATTTGATGCTTACTTGGTAATGCATTGTGGAGAGTTACATAGCCAGAGGCAGTTAGCCTCCTCAGAAGAGTATTTATGCAGTAGTCTTCTAACCAATCTACTAGCCCATAACTCTCATCACTGCAGTAAGTTGCAACCAAGATATCAATTTCTTGTTTCTACTGACTGGTAACCTTGTAAAAGCTGGAGTGACATCCTGTGGACCACTCAATAAAAAAAAAAAAAAATCTACAGGAGTTGTTTGTACTAATCTTAAACCTCACCTTTATTTCACTAAAGAGGCCATTTCCCCTGATTGCAAAGCTTACCAAAGTAACCCAATCTTTATTTTTATTACTTACCCTATTAATACTGAAATTAGGCCTGTCATCCATCACCTCTATGGTATTGGGGTAAATATCAACGGGAAGGATCCCTTGGGCATATTTGAAATATATCTTCTGCCTCTTCCTCCTCTACCCTCCTCAAATCTATTTCAAATATCCCTTTATCAATGATAGACAAAAGTATCAGTAGCAAAAATCAATGACCTAAAGCAAACCTTAGGTATAGAGACAGAGTCTCACGATGCAAATGTATGGTTAAAATTGATTAAATATTCCATCCGCACTCTAAGCAAAAGCAACTGTTACACATGGTAGGCCAGAGGCCCAGACTGTCCCCTTTCCACTTAAATAGTCCTCTCATCAGACAGACTTAGTGTGTGGGGTGTCTCTCTTCCAAGATTCCACAGCAAGGAACAACCAATTGTGCCAAGCCCTTTCCCTGCTATATCCTGAAGTTCAGCACCCTGCAGGGCAGCCCCCAAGGGCCATTCAGCCACCATCTTCTGAGACAGAATTTGCTTCATGTTTCACAGCAGGAAGATAACTTAGTGTTACTTGGAAACTTAACAGGATACAGTGAAGTAAGGCACTTCCAAGAGCTAACCCACCAGACTTCCATCCTTGAGCGAATGTATGGTGCTATTGTTGGGGGCCAAATAACTGGAGTGGTAACTGCACTCTAGTCCAATGGCTATCCCTTTTACCCTGCATTTCATCAGCTGAAAATTGACAAGACCCGCTACCAACATACAAGAGAAACTCCTTTTGGATTCTTTGGTTCTTTTCTTTTCTTTTTTTTTTTTTGAGACGGAGTTTCACTCTTGTTACCCAGGCTGGAGTGCAATGGCGTGACCTCGGCTTGCCGCAACCTCTGCCTCCTGGGTTCAGGCAATTCTTCTGCCTCAGTCTCCTGAGAAGCTGGGATTACAGGCACGCGCCACCATGCCCAGCTAATTTTTTGTATTTTTAGTAGAGACGGGGTTTCACCATGTTGACCAGGATGGTCTCGATCTGTTGACCTTGTGATCCACCCGCCTCGGCCTCCCAAAGTGCTGAGATTATAGGTTTGAGCCACCGCGCCTGGCCGGATTCTTTGATTCTTATGTTTATTTAGATGCAACTGGAGTTCCCAGATGAGTAACCAGTGAGTTGAAAGCTAGAGATAAAATAGCTACCTGATATTAGTTGGGACTATTTTGGTAGGTAACAAAAAACAAAAATGTAGATTGGATCAATTATATTTACTATAACCAACAACAACTTGTTAACTATACAAAAGATGCCATTAAAGGAATTGCAGAAAAGTTAAGGTCTACTAGCTAAATGGCATGGGAAAACAGGATAGCTCTTGATACGATACTAGCTAAAAAAGATGGTGTTTGTGTAATGATTAAAACGCAATGCTGTACTTCCATCCCAAATAACACAGCCCCAGATGGAAGCATAACATGGGCCTTGCAAGGACTCACGACCTTATCAAATGAATTAGCTAAAAATTCTGGTGCTTGCTTCGACAGCACATATACTAAAATTGGAATGATACAGAGATTAGCATGGCCCCTGCACAAGAATCACATGCAAATTCGCGAAGCGCTCCATAAAAAAAGAAAGAAACAAACAAAAATTCTGGCATAAATAATCCCATTTCAAAATGGCTAGAAAATTGGTTTGGCAAATGAAAAGAAACCCTAACCTCAATTCTTACCTCACTGGACTGCTTATTGTCAGATGTTGTGTTACACCCTGCATTCGAAGGCTAGTGCAGAAACTAATTGATATGACTCTTACCAAGATATCCCTAACCCCTCTCCCACCCTATTCTAAAAGATTTCTTCTGCTAGAAGATCAAGCTGACCAAAGAAGTCAAGAACTATTGAACAAGTTTGAAGAGAAATTATAAATTAAAAGAGGGAGTAATTATAGAAAATAAAATAGAAGTTCCTCTTCAAAGTTTCCTTGGCTGCCCCAGATATCTGCCCTGACATGTCTGGGAAAGCCTAGGGAAGCATTAGATCATAGTTTTCTCCTTTGCCCTTATTAAGTAGTACTTTTGCATTTATCAGCATTCCACAAGTCACTTCCTCTTTTCTTTGTTCTTTCTTACTTTTGCCTATTTAGGAAAATTTTAAGTTGGCAGCCAATAGTGTAAAGCTTAGAGGGTGAGGTTCTGTTCCAGCCAGTGGAAACTGGACATAGCAGTAGGATGGTTGCACTAGGTTATAAATGCTCCTATTTCCTTTGTTCAGGTGTGATCTCATGGCAAGACTGTTACTGAGTGTCACCCTTTCTGCAGAAAGTAACAATTGGCCTTGCTGACTGATCCATAGTCTCAGTGTTGATTCTATACAACACTGAGTACCTGTTTCTAACATCTACTCAGTAAACACATTACTCTGATTGGGTTTCTGGACTCCATGGTCTGTAAGTCAGTTTCAGGACTAAAGATACAAGAGTTACTGAAGAAGGTAAAGTGGTTGATTGCTGCCCTGTAAAGTTTGTAGAAATCTGGTCTAGTCTCTAGAAGTGACTACAGAAAGCTACAGGTACCAAACAGGCAGAGATACAATTCTGTCTGCATATTTAAGAGAAAGCAGGCACCTTGCAGAAAATTTGTGAGTTGACTGGAAACCTGAGAGGGAAAGTCACCTCTAGAGTAAATTCTGGTTGGCACCTTATATGTTCATATCACGTCTGATAATTCTAGACAGTGTCTGGAAAATATAATTAGAAGAAAAATTTTCCCCAACCCCAGAGAAACACCACAATAATAAAACAATAAGAACTGTAGGCTGGGCATGGTGGCACACACCTGTCATCCCAGCAGTTTAAGAGGCCAAGGCAGGTGAATCACCTGAAGTTAGGAGTTCAAACGAGCCTGGTCAACATGGTGAAACCCATCTCTACTAATATACAAAAAATTAAGCCAGGAGCAGTGGCTCACGCCTGTAAACCCAGCACCTTGGGAGGCTGAGGCGGGCAGATCACGAGGTCAAGAGATCAAGACCATCCTGGCCAACATGGTGAAACCCCGTCTCTTCTAAAAAATACAAAAATTAGCTGGGCATGGTGGCACAGGCCTAGTCCCAGCTACTTGGGAGGCTGAGGCAGGAGAATTGCTTGAACCTGGGAGACGGAGGTTGCAGTGAGCTGAGATCGTGCCACTGCACTCCAGCCTGGGCAACAGAGCAAGACTCCATCACAAAAAATAAATAAATAAGAAATGTGTTTTATTACACAATTAATTTTGAATGCATCATGCATCACAGTCAATCTGCTTAACAGACTGCAAAGACAGAAAGATGGTCACCATAATATCCCACAAGTAGAAGAATATACAGCGCCATGTCATAAGTAGTTAATCCTGAATTTACCTGGAAATTGGAGAAGCCATTTATGCATACTAATTTGTTATATTCAATAATAAAATAAATTTTTCACATCTTCATGCTATGAGGTAGTTTTGCAACTTGAAGCCAGGTGCCTGCTGGACTCAGGCTCTCACTCTTCTACACAAATGGTTGACCAGGGTGGTATCCTTTTTGGCTATTTACATTTTAAAGCAATGACTCTCCGGCCGGGCACAGCGGCTCAAGCCTGTAATCCCAGCACTTTGGGAGGTCAAGGTGGGTGGATCACGAGGTCAAGAGATCGAGACCATCCCGGTCAACATGGTGAAACCCCGTCTCTACTAAAAATACAAAAAATTAGCTGGACATGGTGGCGCGTGCCTGTAATCCCAGCTACTTGGGAGGCTGAGGCAGAATTGCCTGAACCCAGGGGGCGGAGGTTGCGGTGAGCCGAGATCGCGCCATTGCACTCCAGCCTGGGTAAGGAGCGAAACTCCGTCTCAAAAAAAAAAAGCAATGACTCTCTACTCCCTGACCACTGGGTTATAGAAATCCTGCTTGTCCTCTCTTGATGGCTAGTGTCCCCTCTTGAAGCCCTATCATCTGCCACTGAGGTACAGCCCACAGCACAAGGCTCACAGCTGGTAGATCACATTTTACATGAATCCGAATTGCCACAGCAGCACATGGTTTCATATCAAAGAGTGAAGCCTGACTATCAGGAGGAGAGGCTGCAGACCTTCTGGGTAGAATTGCACCTTCACAATAATGGGAATGCTAGCAGCGTTTCAGCCTCAGTTTTTATTTATAATGGTGACATGAAAAAATACTGCTGGATTTCCAGCATGAGACCAGATAGAAATATGTCTAAGACTTCTCACTGTGACAGCTCACCTTATTCACAGACCCCAAGGGATACTAATAGGACCCCTGGAACAGCCACACAAAGCACTGGAGAGAAAAACAGCTTTCAGTCTGAGCAAGATTATATTGAGATAAAAAAGTTAAAGGCATCTTAAGAACACCATTCTGGTTAGATATGAAATTGATCAAGTCAGCTAGAAAATATTCTCCTTAAAGGAATTTCTTTCTTAAAACCCAAAGTGTCTATTAGCTCATGCCTATAATTCCAGCACTTTGGAGGGAAAGGTTGGCAGATCACTTGTGGCCAGGAGTTGGAGACCAGTCTGGCCAACATGGTGAAACCCCATCACTACTAAAAATACAAAAATTAGCTGGGCTTGGTGGCATGTGCCTGTGATCCCAGCCACTTGGGAGGCTGAGGCAGGAAAATCACTTGAGCCTGAGAGGTGGAGGCTGCATGCAGTGAGCCGAGATCACGCCACTGCACTCCAGTCTGGGCAACAGATCAAGACTCTGTCTCAAAAACAAACAAACAAACAAACAAAAAAACCCAAAGTACACAAGTACTCTCAGCATGAGAAACATGAGTACTATGAAAAAGGAGAAAATATTCTCTGCAGAATTGTTTAAGGTTTCTCTTCTATCTCTACTGCTCTCCTATTTCCTAGCTATTGAATGGGAGATCTACATTGGAATACATCTGACGATTTTCATAAGCACTTTTAGAAGATAAGAAAAATTGGAGATCTGACTTTGTTTATATAGTGAAATATATTTTACCTTGCAACATACCTAACTGAACTGCTATTATGGTTTTTCAGTGGCCACATCACTCATGTTTTTTTGTCCTGTAATATCAGCATTCCAATTTAGTGAAATGAAAGACACTGAAATTGTGCTTATCTGTAATTATCCATGTGGGATTTATTAATAAGCATGGTAGACAAATGTTTACTGTAATAATTTGGTAGCTTTTTTTTGGATATTAGATATAAATAAATATAAACAATTTTAATGTACTAGTCATAATATAAAAAATGTTTAAATTGTCTTGTAGCCATAATTTAGTTTAAAAACTTCATTTTAACAGTACAAATAACAATAGTAAAATAACTATTAAAACATCCATTCAATGTAAATATTTTGCTGTTATATTTCTCCTATTGTATGAATACAATTGTAGAAAACACTGTTTAATTTATATAAATGCAGGTTGTCTACTAACCATACACATAATTATGCTAATTATTAAGTATAAAATAGAAAGCAAAATATAACTACAGACTCCACGGTTTATATACTGAATTCTTGTTGCTTTTGCAATACTAGTACTTCAGACTGCAAATATGAGATAATTAACTTGAATAATCAGTGTTCTGTCAAAGAAACTTACTCAGTATCTCTTAGCCTTTATCATTCTGTATTGCTAAATTTAATGTTATATTGGTGCTAAACTTCTGTGTGCTTTTAAAATAACATTAATCTAAACAAATCTGTGTCTACTTTAGAAGACTAATAATAAAAACATATAAACTGTTAGGCTGGAGGTGGTGGCTCACGCCTGTAATCCCAGCACTTTGGGAGGCCAAGGTGGGCGGATCATAAGGTCAAGAGATCAAGACCATCCTGGCCAACATGGTGAAACCCTGTCTCTACTAAAAATACAAAAATTAACTGCGTGTGGTGGCGCATGCCTGTAGTCCCAGGTACTGGGGAGGTGGAGGCAGGAGAATTGCTTAAACCCAGGAGGCAGAGGTTGTGGTGAGCCAAGATCACACCACTGCACTCCAGCCTGGCGCCTGGCAACAGAGCGAGACTCCATATCAAAAAATAAAAAATAAATAAACTTTTGCCAAAGCAAAAAAAAAAAAAAAGCAATGAATCTAAAGTCCTAAAGAAAATCCTGAGTCAAAAAGAAGGCTAAAAGGTTTATTTATCTGTTAATATGACATACATATATTTCAAAAAGCAGAGATAAGTATCTACATATAATGTAAATGCTTTAAGAAAAGAGAGATGAGCAAAATGGTCTCCTTTATTTTAAGCTATGTAACTAAATCCTGTTATTTCTAATTCACATTTTCTTCTACATCAGCTACATCTCTGAACATGCTGAACTATTGAGACATCTGAATTGCAGTAGACACTGAATTCAGACATCTGTGGAATAGCCTTAAGCACACCGTGTGCACTTGAAAAAATGTTTATGGGGGAAAAAGCAAAAGAAAAAAATGTGTTTTATAAATTTATAGGTGTAAATAAAACAAGTTCTTAGTGACTTATGAAGACAGATTCTGACACAATAATAGTAGGACAGTATAACACTCTACAAACACTAATAAATGGATTACTGAGGGAAAAAAATTAACAAAGATATTAGGACCTAAACTCAACACTTCACCAAATAGTCCTAACAGACACCCACAGAACTCTCCATCTAAAAACAACATAATATACATTGTTTTCATTACCAAAGAGCATATAATTTAAAATTGACCACACATTACAAACTAAAGCAACCCTAAGCAAATTCAAAAATCCCCAAATCATATCAACAACACACTCAGACCACAGCTTGATAAAAATATAATTGAATACAAATAAAACCACTTGAAACCAGACACTTACATAAAAATTAAACAACCTACACTTGAATGACAAATAAAATCGAGAAGTTTTTTGAAATAAATGAGAAAAATGAAACATGGCAGAATCACTGTAACACAGCTAAGGCAGTGCTATAAATTAAGTGTTGACATCAAAAAGAAAAATCTCAATTTAACAACCTGATGTTATAAATAGAAGAATGAGAACAGCGAGAGCAAATCAACCCTTAAACTAGCAGAAGACAAGAAATAACAAAAATCACATCTGAACTGAAAAAGATTTAGACATAAAGAACTACAAAAAGGGTGGAGAAATTAAAGAGTAATTTTTTTTGAAACAGTTTGTAATATAAACCACTAGCTAGATTAATGAAAAAAGAAGAGAAAATCCAAATAAACAAAATCAGAAATGACAAAACAAACATTACCAAACAAAAATACGAATAATGATTGAAGTCTACAATAAACATTTCTATACACAGAAACTAGAATCTAGAAAAAAATGAATTCTCGGACAAATACGTCTTTCTAAGACTGAACAGAAACAACAACCAAAAAAACTGAATCCCTTAGTAGAACAATAAAAAGCTCCAAAATTGAATGAGCAATAAAAAGCCTACCAACCAAAAAAAGTCCAGGACCAGACTTACAGCTGAATTCTACCAGACATACAAAGAAGAGTTGGTATTATTCCTACTAAAACTATTCCAAATAATTGAGAAGAGACTCCTCCCCAACTCATTATCTAAAAACAGCATCATTCTGATACCAAAACCTGGCAGAGACAAAACAAAAAAACCTTAGGCCAATATTCTTAATAAACATTGATAAAAGAAAAAGAAGAAAAATGTCAGAAATGACACAAACAGGTCTTTGCGCCTAGTGACCTACAGGTACTGTGAGATCCATAGCGGAAAGCCAGGACCCTCTGGAAGCCTAGAAATGATTTGATCACCTGTCTGAAGCAAGGAGAAGAGCCCTGGAATATGAAGAGATATGAGATAGTGGCCAAACCCCTAGTCGGAGTCTCGCCATGCTGCCAGGCTGAAGTGAAATGACACAATCCCAGCTCACTGCAACTTCCCCTTCCCAGGTTCAAGTGATTCTCTTGCCTCAGCCTCCCAAGTAGCTGGGATTACAAGTATGGGCCACCTTGTCCAGCTAATTTTTGTATTTTTTTTTTAGTACAAATGTGGTTTCACCATTTTGGCCAGGATGGTCTTGATCTCTTGACCTTGTGATTCCCCCGCCTCAGCCTCCCAAAGTGCTGGGGTTACAGGCATGAGCCACCGTGCCTGGCTGCTGTTTATATTTCTTCAAAAATGCAGTGAGAAATTTTAAAACATTGCATTAAATCTATAGGTTACATTGAGCAATATGGACTTTTTCAAAATATTATTTGAATTTTTGAACAGAAGCATGCTCAAGAGTTTGGTGCTGTTTAATTTTTATATATTTGTAAATTTTTAAGGTTTTTTTTCTATTATTGTTCCATACTCTCATTCCAATTTGGTCATATAAAGTAATTCATAAAAATTTTGTTTTAGTCCAAGGCAGGCATATCACAGTGTCAGAAGTTTGAGCCTGGCTTGGCTAATATGGTGAACCCTACCTCCCACTAAAAATATAAAAATTAGCCAGGTGTGGTGGTGTGCACTTGTAGTCCCAGCTACTTGGGAGGCAGAGTCAGGAGAATCTCTTGAACATGAGAGGCGGAAGTTGCAGTGAGCCGAGATCGCATCATTGGACTCCAGCATGGATGACAGGTGTCTTTACTGCTAAGAAGTTGCTGGCCTGCCAGAAAACTGCTATTCTCAGCTCTGTCCACATTGACTAATCACAGAGTTTTGCTCTTGTCACCCAGGCGTGCAATGGTGCAATCTTGGCTCACTGTAACTTCTGCCTCATGGTTTCAAGCAATTCTCCTGCTTCAGTCTCCAGAGTAGCAGAGATTTCAGGCATGTACCACCACGCCCAGCTAATTTTTGTCTTATTAGCATTGACGAGGTTTTACATGTTGGCCAGGCTAGTCTTCAACTTCTGACCTCAGGTGATCCACTCACCTCCGCCTCACAAAGTGCTAGGTGTGAGACACTACACCTGGCTGGTCAATGGTTTAATTCTAATGTAGTTTCTAAAAACTTCAAAAGTTTAAATAAATCCTAGAGGAATGTGTCTATAAGGAGGTTCATAAAAAAATAAGGGCCCAGACAAGTTTAGTACAGGTTTTTGATAATTTAAGGATCAAACCATTTGGACTGAGTAAAAATTGTGAGTATTTTAATAAAGATAGTGACTGTTATAAAACTGCTAACCAAGGCAAAACAAAAATTAATTGAACTTCAGGAAAATACAGCAACATTTCTATGTTAAATAAGCCAGTAATGAATTTTTAAAGATATGTCATTTGAATTACCTCTGTGACCCAACTCAAATTACCTATGATAACCCCTTACTGTTATGCACCTAAATTGGAGAAACAAACCTGATATTTAAGATGACAAATTTAACGTTAAGTGTAAATTCATGGAGAAACCAGAAAGCCAGCAGCCATTGGTTCATTTCATTTCTGAGTTCCTAAAGCTTCCATTATTTAAAATGCCACATTTCATTACTAATCACAGAAGAGATAAAATAATCAAAGTTAAATATATATATAAAAAAAGAAATGACACAAACAAATGTAAACCATGTTATTCTCATGGATAGAAAAGACCAGTATTATTTATATTGCCAAACTGCCCAAAGAAATTTACAAATTTAATGCTATTTCTAAAAAACCATCAAAAACATTATTGTTATTATTATTATTATTATTATTATATATATATATTTTTTTTGAGATGGAGTTTCACTCTTGTTACCCAGGCTGGAGTGCAATGGCGTAATCTCGGCTCACCACAACCTCCACCTCCTGGGTTCAAGCAATTCTTCCACCTCAGCTTCCCGAGTAGCTGGGACTACAGGCATGTGCCACCATGCCCAGCTAATTTTTGTATTTTTAGTAGAGACGGGGTTTCACCATGTTGACCAGGATGGTCTCCATCTCTTGACCTCATGATCCACCTGCCTCGGCCTCCCAAAGTGCTGGGATTATACATGTGAGCCACCTCACCTGGCCTTATTATTATTATTAATTTGAGATGAATTTTCCCTCTTGTTGCTCAGGCTTAAGTGCAGTGGCACCATCTCTGCTCACAGCAATCTTCCCCTCCAAGAGATTCCCCTGCCTCAGCATCCAGAGTAGATGGCATTACAGGTTCGCACCACCATGTCCAGCTAATTTTTTTTTGTATTTTCAGTAGAGACAGGGTTTTGCTGTGTTGGCAAGGCTGGTCTCAAACTCCTGCATCGGGCACTCCACCAGCCTGGGCCTCCCAAAGTGCTTTGGTTACAGGTGT